TGGACCAGGAGCAATGGGGTGGTGGCTCAGAAGCCCCTCCCTGTGGGCCAGGAGCGGTAGGAGGGATGGTGGCCCGGAAGCCCCTTCCTCTGGGCCAGGAGCAGTGGGACGACGGCTCAGAAGCCCCTACCTCTGGGCCGGGAACAGTGGGACTCAGTACCTTGCTCTGGTGGTCTGGTGTCCTCTGTGTCTTTGTAGTGTGGAATCAGGTGGCTGCCTGCCTGCAGCGGGGTGATTCGGTGTTTTCTGCGCCACTCAGGACCTCGGTAGGGCGTGCACAGACCTGCCTGTCTGCAGCAGGCTGATTCGGCGTGTGTTCCGCGCAACTGGGGACCTCGGTAGGGTGTCTCTTCTTCATTTGTTGATTCTTCTTATTTCTCATCCTCTGACATCTGAGTTGTTTTTCCTCAAAAACACAAGCATTTATTGTTTCAAATGATCTTATTTAGATGAGCTCCTTAGGTAACTAATGGACAATTTTTCAGAAGAATTTTTATCCATCCTCTGCAAGCCACTCTCTTTGCTCTTTCAGGAGAGGAGATGCAAAATGTTAATTTTTGTTTCCACTTTCTTTTTGCTCTTCTGCTTCTTTATCTTCTGGCTGGTGCCCCAGGCCAGCAATCTGCTCCCAAAGAGTTTAAGTGAATTATCCTCAACTTTTTCTCACTGCTTGTTTGAAGTGTTTGGAATTCCATTTTAATTCTTCAATTGTTTTTTTGATGATACATCATCACGTGACATTTCAATAATTGCTCTGGAAATTACAACATGCACTCTAAACTTTATAGCTCACTCAGAGTTAAAACTGCGCAACATTTATATAAAATGTGCATGCCTGATGACCATACAGGTTTGGGACTACATCTGAATCCTACATTAACATAGGAATCTGAGCACATGAAGTTTACGGTTTGTATTTTTTTTCTTTTTCCTTTTTCAACAGTCTGAGGAAGAAAAGAATTTTTTGGTGGTGGTGCTGGGTATCAAACCCAGAGCCTTGCACATGCTAGGCAAGTGCTCTGTCATTGAGCAACAGCGCCAGCCCAATAAACTCTTTATTGTGGGCATTTTCCCCAAATTCCAGAGGAAAACCAACCGTTCATTCCCTTCCATTTCATGTGCTTCCTCCTCATCCATGGGCATGCAGCTGTGAGCATGTGTGCTTGCACACACACATAAACATACTCCATCTGACACGTCCCTGTACAAATAACGATTTTCTGGCTGCATATTCATGACTTTTGTTGTCACCTGGAAATCAGCAATTTGACTCCTCTGTCGGCTTCCTTCTTAGAAGGAGGACTCTGTCACCAGGACCCAAGGACACAGAAAGGACTCTGTAGTGTATCACACTTCAGGCCCAGCTTCCCACTCCCCACCCCTGCCCTTGACTGTGCTCCCTGAAGAGTCCTCCCGTGGGGACACTGTCCCACTCCCATGCAGTGAAAAGACAGTGCAAGTCAATAGAAAGAAGAACAATCACATGTGGGGAGAAGACACAGGATTTCCTCGGTTCACTAAGACATGTTGGTGGTCCACAGCTCACATCACACCTGCACCATGAACCGCACAGACCTGTCACTAGGGATTTAAAGGCTCCATGCAATGCTAGGGAAGCCTCAGATTCATCTTTCCAACAAGACAGGCTTTGGGGTGCTTTGGAGAGGTGCTGTTGCACCCCCAGCCCCTCAGTGCCCACACTCATTTTTAAGAAAGAAGTTTACAGACCACAATAGAGCAACACAGGAGATTTAAATGTATAATTTATCAAAGCTTAGTGGCAAGTTCATAGAGCAAAAAGAGTGCCTCTTGAGAATTCATCAAAACTGTGAAAGAGCAAACTTAAAAGGGCAAACAAAAGTCCACCCATGCCATCCAAGTGCCTGTCTCCTTCCTCTGTGAAGCTCTAATGCATCCCTCCGATGAGTCCAAGTCTTCAAGACGAAGCCCTGTTAACAACGGAATTTGGGATGGAAAGGTCCTGAGAGTCTTTAAAAGCAAAGACTCGAGAGCTTGAGAAGCAAAGGGGAAATCTTCAGATGGGGAGGAAGAAAATTCCCATGGCAGAAAAAACAGAAGATACAATATCCCCAAGCCCTCGGCCTGCACTGCTCAGGCATGTGCACCCTGCTCCTGGGCACTCACCCTGGTAACTATACCCCGTCCACATACCTGGCTGCCTGACCCTGGCAGCCTGCAGAAGTGGGCGGGCTCTAAAGCCACAGGGTCACAGGGCGTACTGGGTGTCCCGTCCCATCGCTACCAGGAACCGGCTTCCAGGAAGGAGCTGGGCTCAAGCTGGCTCTGGTTTCCTCGGGGTCCCCTGGAAGAAGAAAATAAACACACATTAATCCTGAGAACTTTTTGTGGAATTATGAAAATAGTCGGTTATAAAACACATCCAGATGTCAGCCAAGGCCGAGTCAATTGGAATAACAGCTCTGAGTCAAATCAGTAGAGGTCAGTGGCCAGGCTGGGGAGGAAACCTCCAGAATCCCCTGTCAGGGGGCGAGAGGGAGCCCGACTCCACCCCAGGCTGCGCCACAGGACATGATTGTGTAAATGAGCTACAAAAATGAATTCACAGATCAACATAAACTTTTTTTAAAAGATTAATTTTTTCATGGCTAGGGGCAAGTTTACAGGAGACCAAAACAAAAAGAGCTATTTGATAGTAAGAAGAAATTTTGAAAAAGCAAAACTGTTTGTTTTTTTTTTTGGTACCAGGGATCAAACTCAGGACCTCAGGCTTGCCAGGCAGGTACTGTGCTGCTGAGCTAAATCCCCAACCCAGAAAGAGCAAAACTTTTTTAAACTTCCTTTTGACTTGACCATTATTTTTTATTATCAGTGAAAAACAAAAATTGAAAGACCTTTAAATTTGTTTCCTATTGATTCACAAGCCCAATTCTTCCAAGATATGAATGCAAGGAGAGGCATTGGAGCACTTACTATTAACACCTGTGAGTAACCTACATGCCCACCTGTGGGGCACTGGCTAAATAAATCACACACACACTCACACTTATACACACACCCGTGACAGTAGACAAAGCACAGTATGCAGAGGGTGAGGGCACTGGGGAGCTGCAGAGCCATCTGGCCAGTAGGAAATGCAGAAAGCAAGGGCCAGGGCAGGGATACCCATGGTCCAGCCACCTTGACTATTTCATCCATCAGCTGGTGTTTCTCTGTCCTCACAGGGAAGCTCCGGGAAGAAACCCAGGTCTGTTGTGGTCACCTCTGGGGAGGACTGGGCTGGGGCAGGGTGCTTTGCTTTGAGTTAAGCTTTCCTGGACTATATTGCTTTTGTAAAACTTTTTCTTTACTAGTTTAAGAGAGCAGGAGAGGGAGCCAGGGATTTATCTCAGTGGCATGGTGCCTGCCTCGCAAGTGCAAAGTCCTCAGTTTGATCCCAGTACCAAAAAAGAAAAAAAGAGAGAGTAGGACAAGGTCAGGGAAAGGATGAGGGGTCTGAGGAAGTGGCAAGTCAGTGCCCTGGAGATCTCACTCTAGAGGTGAGAAGGACCCCCATGGAGGCACTGATGGCCACAAGGATGCTGGACATCAGGCAGCACTAAGGAAAACCGTGCAACTCTACCCTTTCTCCAGCCAGTGAGTGATCACCTAGCAGCACCGCACCGTGCTGGTCCACTTGCTCAGTTCCTGAACATTCTGACCGTGGTCTGATGCAGACTGCACCCCAAAATCTGCTTTCTTAAAAGGAGAGGCAGGCAAAGCAGCTTTGAAGTTACCGGCTTCCAACGTGGGCCATCATTGGCTACTGCTGGGATCCTCTCCCTGTCACAGCTTTGCACACTCTGGGTGGGACCTGGCAACACTGCTTCCTAACATCCTGTGGAGGCTGAGCTCCCAAAGGGCTCCAATGCCCTGAATACAGCCGACCTGACGCTCTGCAGCAGACCAGTTCCCTGCCTCCCACCCACTCCCCACTCCGTGCTGTCTCCAAGGGTCCTGGGACTCAGGTTAGGGGAAGATTTTCTTTTTTTTCTTTCTTTGTATATCCTTTTACTGGTACACTTTAGGCATACACTATAATGACATTCGTCATTGGAAATTTGCACCTTTACACAATCTCTTGGTTCTTATTTTTTCCCCCTTCCCCTGCGCACCCTTAAACCCTTCCATCCCTCCCTATTTACAGAGACTTGTTTGCTTTTTTTCATTTTCTCATATTAATTCCACTCCCTAGGAGATTTTCATAAAGGACACAGGGAATGTCACAGGTTAGTGCCCAAAAGAAATCCGGATTCAGTGGTTCCGCCACCTGCCTTGCAAGTGCAAGGACCCGAGTTCGATCCCCAGTACCAAAAAAAAAAAAAAAGAATTCCGGATTCAGGAAGCCCCCAAAGTGAATCTGGTGGTGCATCAAACTGACTGGCTGCAGGAAATGCACATAGAAAACTAGTGCAATGGAGGATTGGGACCCTGAAGGAAAGGTAAGAGCGGCAGGCTCAAAATAAGTAGGAAGAAGCCAAGGACTCCGAATAGCTTCATTTCGTGGCTGCCTTGGGGGGAAGGGGTAATCTTTTAAATTTCCGTTAGTACATATTTGCAGCACATAATGAGTACATCCACCACGGGCAGTTGGTGCATGCATATAGCCATAACACGTCTTAATTCTTTTTAATTCCCTTCCCCTTTCCCTTCCCTCCAGCCTGGGACAGGTTACCCTGAGCACTGCCCTGGGGCAGGAACCGCCTTCCCTGTCCAGGACAGGCTGTGAGATACCGCTGGGGTTTGGGCTGGGATCTTAGGGCCACAGGCCCTGTGGGGACCTTGGAGACCACCACCAGGGAGTTAGCATTTTGCATGTTGGCTTGAAAGAACTCTTAACCTGTTAATGATGCTGATCTCTGTCACATGTTCCCAAGTCAGCTTGGGCCCGGGGCATATAGTTCGGCACTACAGCAATTGCCTAACATGAACAAGGCCCTGTGTTCAATCTCCAGCCCTGCAAAAAATAAATTAAATTAAAAGGTACTCAGCTCAGCTTCATTTTCATTTTTTATTGTAATATTTGCCATTCTGAAGAGGGATTCTTTTTTGTAAGATAGTAAATTCTACCTAATTTTCCTTTAAAGTTTCTGACTTTAAGATCCCGGTCTGAGAAACCTCCCCTAAGCCAAGATTACATAACTGTTGTCTGACATTTCCTTCCAATGTTTTTATGGCTTTATTATCTTGGGTTTAATTAATTTGATAATGATCTCAATTTATTACTATGGCAATTTTTGTGGCTAGTGTTTTGCTAAATGCGAACCGAGCTGTGCTTGCCTGCCATCCTTTAAAAAGCTTCTCCGCCTGAGCATCTGTTTCCTTCCATGTGCTTCTGCCCAGCCTCCTCAATTTACGGTGACGTAAAGGAGACATATAAAGGCCACGCTGATCACTGAAACAGTACCCTGCACTGCAATAGCTGCAGCAATCACCCTAAATTACCCTCTTCTTTCCAGAATTTCCTTGGCTTTCCTTGCACATCTCATTCCAGATACAACTCAGAATCTTTTGTTAAAGTCCTGCAAAGAAATCCTGCTGGGATACTGACCGAGGTTATACTGTGTTTCCAGGCCAGTGGAGAGAACTGATGTCCACACAGCACTGAACACATTCATCCTGGGGACTGTGCTAAACACTTTTCATTAGGTTCTTACCAGGTTTTTTCCATCTCTGCTAGAATTTGGAAGTTTTATTCCTTTCTGCAAGAGTTTCTGGAACAGTTTCAGCAAAATAGCAATCTATCCCCGAGGTTTCGGCTGAACACCCATGTTACTGTGATTACACTCTCAATAGTGTGCAGTAGGAAGCCTGATTCTCTGTGACAGAAGGAGCTGTTCGTAAAAGCCTTCTTGGCTTTCCAAGGTGTGCCTGCTTGACCCTCGCTGTTCGCATCTGAGTCTGCTCCTGAGAGAACCCGCAGCCTCCCATGGTCTGTCGCTCTGCGTGCTCACCCGCTCTCTGCTCCGGTCCTCTCCTTCACTCCCTGCCCTTGCGGGACCCCTGTGGAGTCACACACTGACCTTGCCCTCATCACAGCTCCTCCATTCTTGTCTTCGGAAGGGCTCCTGCTGTGCCACGTTAGCACCCTGTGGCTCCAGCCAATGCTTGCTCACAAGAGTCTCCACAAAACCCCATCTGCTCACTGCTGAGTGTGTGCCTTTCTATTTGGGTAACTATAACCTGCCTTTCCACTGGATGGCAGTCACCATATTTTTGATCGCACCTTATAAAGACACTTGTGAAAGAGGACTTCCAGAGCTGCTTCAGAAAATGGCAAGAATATGGGGCAAGTGTGTTCCAAGTGAGGGGGTATTTTGAAGAGAATTCGTAGCAATGTGCCTTTTGCTGTAATAAAGCTGTTTCATTTAGACACGCACCATACATTTCCACCACTCCTCACATCTCCTTGTTCTGTGGCTTCTCCGCCAAGGCTGCCCTGCGTGAGGCTCCCACAGTCTCCACCAAGCCTGGCACAGGTGCCCCTGGGAAGAGACCCCCAACTCTGCCACTGTCCCTGGTGTAGGTCCACCCTCCCCAGAGCCCAAGTGTTCCCTTCCATATTTCATAGAATTCTTGTTCCCTTGCCCCTGTGTTGAGAACGCCAACCAGATGTTTTCTAAAACATCCTCCTGTTTCCTGGAGAGAAGGTCTGCTCTTTCTCCATGTCCTGCAGATAAAAATGTTATTCTCCTGGAGCTGCAGGATCGCTCCAAGGGACTTCTCTTTCATGTTTGCTCCTACTTGGAAGAGAAAAATATGTATCCCACTTGGCACTGCTGGCAGACACCAGATGTGGACTGCCCTGGACTCACTAGACAGAGAATCTGCCGGCACCTTGACCTTGGGCTTGAGAAATAGTTCTACATCTATTTTTATAAGCCAGCACCAGTGGCTACAGTATTCTGGTTAAAAGGGAAGCGGACCAGCACCCCCCTTTACTCCTCTCACTTTTCTCTTTTTACATACCATAATAAGCACACTGTCATCTTGGAGGGCCTGCTCCACACAAGACAGGCAGCATCATTACCAACGCAACTAGCGCCTCTCCCCTCATCTCCCTGGTCACACTGGCAGGGACCAGCGCCGTGACCATCAGACCCACTGGACAGATGGCAACCTTGCACTCAGGAAGTGAGGCACCTAGTAGAGGCCTCAGCCCAGCTGCCACATCCCCCAGTCTGGACACAGCTGCCCCATGCCTCTCTGTGTCGCAGGCTAAACAGATGTATCTCAGACTGGAGCACAGAGGTGGGACGTGGGCAACAGGACAGGGGCAGCACTGCTTCCCTCGGCTCCTCTGGGATACTGTGCGTCAGGGATGACTCTTCCCACTCTCTTGACTCTGCTCCTCTCTTTCTGCCCTCCTGCTTGGGCCAGAGACACTGCCAGCACCAGTGGCAGTGAACACAGGGAGGGTCCTGTCGTCCTGTCCTCACAGCCAGTGTCTTTCCCATCTCAAACGTGTCGGGGTGCACAGGACAGGGACCATGAACTTGGAGGGCTTGGGGGAGCTCCCTTATGTCTGGCCCTAAAGCCTGTGCTCATCTTCTGCTTTTGACCATTTCCCAGAGTCTGGATATGGCCCCATGAGTCCCTTGGGATTGTGTGCTAGAAGCCTGGCCCCTTTGTGGTGCCAAAACCTTTAAGAGACAAGTTATAGTACATGCTGCCCTCAGAGTCACTGATGTCATTCTCAAGGGACCTGGCTAGTTCCTGTGAGAGCAGGTTGTCATCCAATAGACAAGACAGGCTCCTCCACACTCTCTAGCTTCTCTCTTCTCTCTCTCTCTCTCTCTCTCTCTCTCTCTCTCTCTCTCTCTCTCCCACCATGATTCCATCAGCCATGTGGTAAAGCAGCCAGGGCCCCTCCACCACAGGCCAGGATGTTAGGGCCACCTAATCTTGTACTTTCAGCCTTCAAATCTGAGTTAAACAAACCTCTCTTCTTTGTAAAGTAACCAGCCTCAAGTATTTTGTTATAACAACCAAAACAGACCAAGATACCATGTGTAAAGTAAGTGCCACAGGTCAGTAGCTGACAGGAAGGGGCAGGAAGTGAGGCCTGAAAACCCAGAGAAAAATCCAGAGGACATCCATCAGCACCAGCCACCAGCCATTGTGGAATGCCTTCAGCAGAGCATGTCCTGCTAAAGACTCCTCTGTGGTCCTGTATGTGAGTGTGAAGAGGACCTAGCCACTGTGGCAGGAAAGGTATGTGACATCTCGGCAGCTGTGTGGAAAAGCCAATCTACCTCTCAAAGGGCACAGGGTTAAGGGTTACCTTCTTTATGGCTCCTTCTTATAAACCCTTACTGTGACGATTTAGATCTAGAATGTCCCCAAAAGTCTCACAAGTTCAGAGGTGGGACTTTTGGAAGTTATGAGATCGTGGGTGTGTAATATTCACCGGTAGGTTTTCCACGGATGAGTTCATGGCTGACTGCTGTTAGGAAGTGGAGCCTGGTTGGAGGTGACCTGGAAGGGCATGTTTTAACCCCAGTTCTCCTCCCTTTCTGCTTCCTGTCTGCCATGGGTTGAACGGCTTTTCTCTGCTGTGCCATTTCTGCCTTGGAGTCAGCTGACCACAGACTAAACTCTGAAATACGTGCCCAAATAAACCTCTCCACCTTTAAGTTTCTGGAGTTGGGAATTTTGTCCCAGTGATGAGAGAGTGACTAATACACCCAGATTGGGCAAATTACAGAGCTTGCCTCTGGGTTTTCTCTCAGAAATCACTAGAGCACCAAGATGGGGGGGTGGGGCACTGGAACCTTAATTCCTCCCAGGCTGTATGGTTATATCCCAGGCACCCTCTGTACAAGGTGGCCCTGCAGATCTCTTCTTGTCACACACTTGACATGAACTACTGCCTCTTACTTTCACTAGGCCTGGTCTTTTCCTTACAGGATATGAAGTGGGACATTGTTCTTCCAACTTTTAGAGAAAGAGACTGGGAATAACAAGAAACAGTTCCATGAAATTCAAGGAAATGTCACAGTCATTTAGGGAGCGTAGTCCCTGAGAGCCCTGTTCACCTCCCCTCCCTTCTTCCCTTCCTGACAGCAAGTGTTTTGTGTTGTTAGTCACTTGCTTGCCTTTCCACTCCTTAAGCATTCTCCCTCCCTTAGACCACTCCCTGGAAGAAGGCCCATCTATCGGTCTCCACTTTACCAGCAGAAAAGACCTCCATGGATATCCCAAGACTCTCACCCTGGTGTGTGAAATTCCCTTGAGGATAAAATTCCAGAATCAAGGACATGGAAGTGTCCACTTGTCCTTGAAGAACTAAATACATGGACTGTCCTTTTGCCCCCTGAAAAGCAGTCAGTAGAATATCCAAGGTAGCAGTCAGCATAGGCAAGGTTTTGCTCTAGTAACAAATAGTTCCCCAAATCTCCGCCTTAAAAGAACACAGATTTATATGTTCCTCATGCTACATATTCGCTTGACATTATCAAAGCTCCGCTTCTAACAGAATCAGCCTGCGGAAGCAGCTATTGTTGCAAAGATTCTACTCACTGTGCCAGAAGACACAACCAAGATGGGGAGTCTCACATTACCTACTCATAGCTCTGGCCTGGAGGTGCAGCCTCATTTCCACTCATAACTCATCGACAGGAGTCTTCACTTGGCTCTGCCCACCTGCAGAGAAGTACAGTCCTTCTACATGCCTACTACATGTGGTGACAGCATTCGTGACACTGCCTCCAGCCATACAGTCTATGGCACCAGGACCAGGCAGGCCCATGGTCCCAGACAGCTGCTCCAAGGCAGGGGATGATGATGGCGTCTTCCTAGGAGATGAGGGAAGAGAAACTACCTTTCACCTTAGAGAAGGCCTCCCAAGACTACCTGATGATTTTAGCTTTTCTTTCCATTTGCTTCCTGTTTTTGCAAGCTTACTTTTCTCCTTGAGTTACACTCACCACAGAGAATTAGCTCAAGGACTGGCACTAATTTTGCACATGAAAAAAATTAGCTAGTGTTAATTATATAATTATATCTTGATGGAATCACTCACAAATCATGGGCAGAACCGAGTTGGTTATTTCCTCCTTCAGGAGTCAGTGTTTTCCAAGGGCAATCAGCACAGTGCAGGTTGTACTGGCCGGCAGACAGTAGTAACTCCCCGGTTCTTTCTCCTCCGTTACACTGGGGAGTCAGACTACACATCTCTCGACCTCTTTTGGTCTGAAACGTTATGAATGTAAATTATTAAGGAAAGTCAACTTTCACTGCTACTATTGCCAAGAACAACCTCATCTTCTCAGCTTTCCTGCTCCAGAGCCCTCAGGGCCGGAGTTGCTCAGACACAGTCCCCGGCCCTCTTCCCCAGCCCCTGCCCAGGCAGGACCTATTCCCACCCAGTGTGTCTACCATCTCCCGGTGACACCCCCAGCACTCCCAGTACGCAAACCCAGATAGCTTTCCCGAGCCTCCACTCGTGTTTCTCACAGACGTCTCAAATTAAATTGCCCCAGAACGGATGGCTTCTCTCGCCCAGCCTGGTCCTCTTCCAAGTCATCCATCTCAGGATGCCAGCTGCTATCAAAACCACAAGCTATTGTGGACACCTCCTTCCCACTCATCCAGCCCAGTCCTCCTGCAATGGTTCTGAGCTGTTCCACCTCCATGGGGCTCAGCCCATATCCTCCCCTCCACCCCAACCAGCCACCCTACGAATGAACATGGTCATGAATCTCCTGGGCACCTGCAGTTGTCCTTGCTGCTCTCTATGCCTCTGCTCTATCCCTCCCTGGGCCTCCTGGAGATCTCAGGGGTGAATATTTACTGAAGGATGGATGGATCCTACCACTTGCATAAACTCTAACAGTGCATCCTTAATTCAGGATGTTCAAAGACCCTCCAACCACTGTCTCCCGCCTCCTCCACACACCTCCTGTCATGTCTCCTTCCACCCTCCTCCTTGCACAAGACCCAGACTCACCATCATTCCTCTGCCTGTCCTGTGATCCCTCCTTCTGCGTGGGCACCCTGTCCCCTCCTGTCCCTCTGCCAGCCATGTTTTCCTTCCACTTCTTTACCCAGCCTGTGCCTAACCTCCCTGCCCCCTCAAAAGCCCACTTGATGGCCTTGTCCTCCTGGAGGCTTCCCCAATGACTCATGTCACCTAGGACCCCTTGAGCATGCTGCTCTCATTTCCCCACATCATAACACACCTGTAATTACACAACCATTTCCATGGGTAGCCACATGCTAACACACTAACCTGTAGGCTCCAGAGGGCAAGGATAATGCCTGCTTTGCTCATTGCTCCATCCAGCCCTTTCCCCCAAATCAGCACAGGCTTTGGCCCATAATAAAAATCCAAAATATCATATAAGTGAGTATGTCTCCATGGCACAGTGTCATGAAGACGTTCCTAAATTCATTTGATTTCCCCCCGCCTAAAAAAAATACAAAATGACACATGCATGGAGCTATTGATTACAACACAATTTGTAAAAGGTGAAATGAAACCAGAATCCACCAATGGGGGAGAGGTTGAATAAACTGTGACACTGTCACACAACAGAGGACTGTTCAGTGTTGAGTAAGAAAGTCTTCATGTGTTGTTACATGATGATTACAGGATGATGCTTTTGTCTGATAAAGGAGGAAGGGTGCATATGTGTGTACCTGTTTTAGTTAAAAAATGAAATGAAAACAAAATGGAATTTAAAAATAAGTGAAAAAAATAGAAAATAGGAAACAAGAGACAGGAACAGAAGCTATATTCTCTGAATACACTTGGTCAAAACTATAGTTTTGACTTTGAAATCTCAGGTATGTTATATAATTCTAAAATAAAGCTAAACCAAGATGCAAAAAAATTCTTGCAAATCAAAACAAAAAAAATAACCTAATTATGTGTCAGGTTGATAGTTTAACTGCAACCCTAAAGTACAGAAGTAGAACAGTTTATACCTAATGGACTATTTCTTATTACACCTAATGGACTATTTTCTGTTTTCTTAAAAACAAAAAGAATACAACAACATTTTTGACAGTATCCAAGAGTCTTACTTTTATTAATAATAAGTAGTACTGTTGGTTCTGTTGTTTTAAAACTACACATACACACCAGTGTTACTACAAATCAAGAACTTTTAGTGTGACCATAAAGAAAATTAACATAAAATTTAAAAAGTTAGGTGAAATCCCTTATAATCTTCCATTTGACTTAGAAACACAAGAGTATAAATTAATAATGTATTATTCTCCTTAAAATAAAAAGGCCTCTGTATTTTCTAGCCCAATGAAATACATTTTTCTTTGATTTCCAAGAAAAATACCTAGAAGCAATGAAAACAAAGTAGTCTTGATTACCTCCACCATCAAGACCTTAGTTTCTAAATACTTTTCCTAGGGCTCCACAGGAGGAGGAATCTGATTCCAACTCTCACCAGAAATTTTATGAGCTGATTCTAGAAGATTTCATCACAAGAGAAAACAAGGACAATAACTGAAGCTATTGGAGAACTGTCAGAGACTTGGAGCCAGTTTGAAAGGAGTCTCTCTCAACAAGAATGGGACAACAGAAGCATCAAAAAGAACAGTGCTTGCAATGAGTTGAACAGCATCAAAGAAGTTAAAATCCAGGAGTGCATGGTGACAGAAAGACTGCCCGCCAAATCATCACTCCAAAAGCTGATAAACAGAAGAAAAAAGCTTCTACCTCAACTCTCACACAAGCTGTCTTTTGCGGGAACTGATCAGTTCATGGCCAAAAGATCTTTTGCATGGAAAAAACTCTAGGTAACACATGCAGGAAGAATTACTTTGTTAGAAAATCACCATCTCCCAAACCTAATAAAACAGTGACGATGGCACTGACCATGAGCAGCTGACAAATCCATTAGGCAGAAGTGGAAGAAAGATGCAGTGGATTCTCAAGTTACGACCGGCCTGAAATATGAACAACTCAGGTTATGACCAGAATTGTAGTTTTAACTTACACCCAAAGTCTTGAGTTATGACCCAAATGCTGGCCACTTGTGCTTCCAGATTGTCTCAGATACAGATTTAACCCTAAAAGAGCTCTGGAAGGAACATTACAGCATTCTCTCCTGTGTGGGGTTAATTGAGAAATCTTGGGCCAATGTCTCTCTAAGGACACTGAGATCTGCCTGTGTACAGGAGAGAGACTTAGAAGGCTGTGTAGAGGAGCCTGAGCCTTCACTGACCAACTTGAGTTACAACCAGCCCTAGGGAACAGATTCAGTTTGTACATCAATGGTCCACTGTTTCCCACTGTGAGTCTGCACATTCACACAGGACAGGAGCCAGCCTCCCCTGCCCTGGTGACACAGCAACAAATGGCAAATATTTCTGCAAAAACAAACCCACACTGCTCAAGCCTCTGTATCTAATCACCAATTTTCACAGCACAGGGAGAAGCACAGCACCACAGAATGCAGGCAGCCCAATCTACAGTGAGGAAATTCTACACAGCACAGTTCAGTTTCTTCAAATAATAAATAGCAAGAGGAATGGGAGGAGAAAACGTGTGCGTGTGTATATGTGTGCATGTGTGTCCACAAAATAAGGTGTACAGTCTTTTATTTCCTGTTTTAATCAGCCAGGAAAATAATCTGGGAAATTTGAGATTGGCTGGATATTAGATGATATTAAGGAATTCTTCTCATATCCCTAGTGTGATAATGATAAGTTGCTATTTTTCAATATCTTTATCTTAGAGATACATATCTCTTAGAGATACATGTAATATCTGAATTTTCTCTTACATTATTCAGTGAGGGGGATTAAACCAAAGATGAAGAGGGTGAGTTACAAGTGAAACAAGAAAATAAATGTAGCCAAATGTTTGACCTGTTTCCCTAAATATCTGCTTTCCACAGATATTAATAAATTATTGATCCTTTCACAGAATAAGAATCACATGTGGTTTTGTGACAATCACTTTAGTTTTAAACTTAAATCTAAAGTATCCCCTATGTCTTGTTTGTGTGCCCCTCACCTCAAGTTCAATGGCTATGCAAAGCCAACAGCCCCTCCCTCCCCCACGCCTAGGGCTCTTGCTGAGAACAATCACCATGCCTCCTTCACCCTGGCCCTAGCCCAGGCCAGGTGCTACATCGACTACCCCATGTTGTGGGGTCTCCTCCAGCTCCTGGCAGGTCTGAAGGGGACACAGCAATGTTTTATGCTCTTTTTCCTGGCCTTTTCTCATTTCTTTTCTGCTATTCTCCTTTTCTTTCTTGCTCCTTTTCTTATGGCCTGTACATACAGTGGACCCTTGACTTACAAACTCAATTTGTTCCCATGGGCTAGCTGTAACTCAAGTTGGTCAATTGCCTTCAAAGCCTCTCTCCTCTATAATTTTAGGCCACAGTTTCTTTCAGGCAGATCTCAATGTGCTTAGAGAGACACTGGCTCGGGATTTCTCAGTTAACCCCACACAGGAAAACATGTTGTAATGCTCCTTCCAGAACTCTGTAAGGGTTAAATCTGTAGCTGAGACCATCTGGAAGCACAAGCAGCCAGAATTTGGGTTGTAACTCAGGACATTGGTCATAAGTTAAAACTAAAATTCTGGTCATAACCCAAGATTGTACGTCAGTCTGGTCGTAACTCGAGGATTCACTGTATGCACTTTGATTGGAGACTTAATTCCAGGTCTTCAATGAGAAAAATGTAGACACTTTCCCTGCTGCTTCCTGCTAAGTCACCTCTCCCTCTCCTTTGAGAATTCTCGACCTATTCTTTTCCTGTAAGACTCCTTTCTTGGAAAAATGTCAAGATGGTCTTTCACAGACCTCGACTAACCTGAAATCCCCATAACCACAGACAGCCTTCTGAAGATCAGAGACAGCAGGAAGGCCAAAGATGCCTCATCTGTTCACCACCACAGGGACTACAGGTGCTGGAAGGCTGTGGGACATCCATGAAGATACCACCAGCCAGGGCTGCCCTGTCAATGGTGGCCTGTCACAGCAGGGAAACAGGACAATGTGACAGGGCCAGCCTGAGCTTGGGACTACAGAGGTATTGGTTTGGAACTCATCAGTCTCCTGCTGGATAAAGTGGTGCCTCAGTTTACAAACTTGATTCATTCTATGATTCTGGAAAAGATAACCATGTTCATGCTCATCCAGGAAAGATAGCCATGGTCAGTCACGTTCATTACCTGATGCAGAGTTCACAAACAAAA